AAATGTAACCCCCTAGACCCGGCCTATGCGTTTCGACTAAGTCTAGTGGATCACATTATGATTATTAAAGACATTTTTCGAAACCGTTATTCCATCAATATAAAATCACATTATAAATAACATGAAATTATAAACAAATTATACTATCAAAATCCAACTCGTAAATATAGTACCAATAAATAATAATTTAATTTAAAACATGTCTTCAAATTCAAAATCACAATAAACCGAGCAGTATTAGCAAAAGAGTCATCATTATAAAATCCGATATTTTAAAATAAGGTTCATGTCACCAAAATAAAGTCAACTTGCCAGATAAAAACATTACAATCTGATTTACTTCAAGAGATATGTTGATCCTCCAAGTGCTCGAACCGAGGTATCTAACCAACAGTATCTGAAAGGGGGAAAACATTTTCAAAAGGTGAGCTAGGCTCAGTGTGTCCCAACATTTCCATAAAATCACAATAGGTACAAATCATAGTCCAGTAATCTCACAAATTCGTAAAAGAGTTTAACTTTTTGAAAATCATAGTTTAAACCCTTTTCTGGTACACCATCAGTAGTTCCCAAAATTATTTTCCATATAGCTTACTTTATGCACATAGCAAAAAGAAAGCCGACTTAAGGATAGGCTCTGAAGCTTGTATCCTTAAGCCCAAGTCAATAAGTCCATATAGCTTACCCTAAGCACACAGCAAAGGAAAGCCGACCTAATGAAACATCTTGGGGCCCTCAAGAGTCACATTAGGCCCAGTTAGCTTGATCAGAGCTATTCCATCGTAATTCAATTCCAAAATTCAATTGCACCGTGACATAAATTCCATAAATCCAAAAACATGGTAATCATATACCATTTCAAAACAAAAATTAGATAGCATCCATATTCCATACATTGTCACATTAAATTGGTGCATCAATAAAACAATAACCAATGAATTCGGTGTACCACATATTAAAACCAATAAAACAGTTCAGTAATAAGTAGGGAACACACCTCGACAATAGATTCAAATAGCAAATCTACTGATTGCTGGTTTCACCACGCTCTGCTACAGTTTTCGAACGGGTGAATACTGGCACACGTGGTTTAACTGATCTAGAAGAGCTGGGTCGAGCTGTCGAACGATCCGGAGAGTCTCTTGTACCTTCAAACAATAATATTTATCAGTCCCAAATCCTATTTAATTGTTCAAAGCTAAACTTCTTAAGTATATAAGCATTTTTGGGTTTGACTATCAATTTGAGGTATTTCGAGTCTGAATTTGGCCAAACGGATTGCGGAATCGGAATCAGGGCGTCGAAAACAAAGTCAAAGTCAACTACTTTGACTGTAGATTTGGAGACCTTCGGATTCGAATTTGACAAAACGGACCATGGAAACGGATTTGGCACGTCGAAAACTATCAGGATAGGTATACTCGGAAAAGATTAACGATCGTTTAATAGCCGGTCAAAGTTCTGGTCAAAGGAGGTCAACAAACTGTTGAATATTTTACACAAATAGCACCCTTTTTAAAATAATTACCAGAATAGCACCAAAACCGAATTATTTACCATAATAGCACCAAAACCGAATTATTTACCAGAATAGCACTAAATTAGAATTATTTACTAGAATAGCATTGGTCAACGGGTCGGGTCAACGGGTCAGGTCGTGACCGGTCAAACCGGTCAAACCCTTAAGAAAATCGGTTGAACCGGTCACTCACTCGCCCGACGGCGGCGCGTGTGGCGCGTGAGGTGTCCTCCGGGGCTCTAAAAATTACGAAAAATTTTCTAAAAATTATTTTGAGCGTTTTCGAGATACTTACAAAGCTCGGTTCAAATTTTTGAACGTCGGAGAGCTCGAATTCATCAAATCGGGAAGGTTGACCGGTTCACCTCCCCACGCGCCGCCGCCGCCGGAGAAAAAGGGGAACACCGGTGGACTCGGAACGGCACAAGGAACACGATAGTGCGGGAGGTGTCGTAAACGGAGCAACGATCAGCGGTGAATTTAAGATTTTCTCGGCGATAGAGCTAACAAAAACGTCGCTACTTTGACTGGAAATTCCCGACGTTTGACCGCGTTTCGCTTCAATTAATTTGAAGGGTTTGTTCCTCGCTCGATGATGAACACAACGGTGGTTTCAAAACAACGATCGGAATTCAGACGGCGTCGGAATCGAGTTTGGAAGTTGTGTGCGTGAGGAAGGATTTGTGAAATTGATTTCTGTTTTTCAAAACAGAAATCACGCATATAACAATTGCCTGCCGACACTCAAAGGTTAAATTCAGGGCTTGATCCCTGAATTTTCTTTAACTTTAAAACAAGCTCCAAGTTTTAAAATCTTTCAATTCAGTCCCAATTTTCGCCAAATTTTCACAATTAAACCCTCTAATTTCAATTAAATATTATTTTGAAAATCGGGTTGTTACATATATATATATATATATATATATATATATATATATATATATATATATATAGAGGTGGATAAATATTAATTATCAAAAGATAGAACTTAACTTGAATGGCAAACACATATTTATAAATGAATAATGATATGTTCATATTTTTATTTTTAAAATACTTATTATATCTCTTTTTTAAAATTTTAAGTAGAAATAACTTAATAGGTGTTTATTTTTTATGTTATAATATCATTTATTATTTTAAATTAAATTTATATATTAAGTAAAAAATGTGATATAAATGAATTCTTATATATTAAAAATTTTAAAAATAAATTGAATAGAGTTAGATGACCATAAAGGAACAAAAACTTAAGTGATGATTTTAATAAATAGTTGAGTGACCAAAATAGAATTGTGAGAATAGTTGAGTAGTTAAATATATAATTAACATTTGCCATTTTTAACCGAGTTAATAATTCGAAACAAAAAATTACGACTTAATTTTTTTGACATAAATAATAATATAAATTCTAAAAGGTAAAATATTTTAAAAGAGAACTCAATATAAAATATATAATTTAAAGAAAATGATGCATTTAATCCGGAAGAAGATACTGTAGTTCGCCGACACATTGAAAGCATCAAAGATTTTATATTTTTTCAATCAATAATTTATGGATTTTTCTATGTTTGATAGATGGTTGAAAACCCAAGCAAAGCCATTAGCCATGTTTATTGGGGCCATGTCGGACAATAATTTTAACCTACTAGCAATGGCTTAGTCACACTTATTAAAACTCTTATTTCCATAACTATTATCAAATAGGTTTGGTGTGAATTTACCATAATGAATTATAGATAGATTAATACTTCATATATTAAGAGTTAATATATTAATAGTTGGGGGCATTTCCATAATGTCCATACAGCTCAGTTGGTAGAGCGCAAGGTTCTTAACCTTGAGGTCGTGGAATCGAATCCCACAGAGGGTTTTTCATAATTTGGAGGTCTCTCACGAAAGTTGCTCTCAACTTGGCGTTAGAGGCAGCCTGCTATCCTATCTCCCCCTTACCCTATTACATGTGAGAATAAAGGTCAGCTAATTAATACTTCATATATTAATAGTTAATTTTTTATAAGTTGTTTTAATTTATTATAATGTTTTTAACTAATATTTAAGTAAACAATTAATAATATATGATTGTTGATTAAGTTGATTTGTAGAAAAATAAAACTCAATTACGTATGTATCAAATAATTATCTAAATATGTACCGGCAACTAATAGGTAAAAAAAACAGTGATTTTGTGATATAGATTCAGTTCAATAATTTAGTTAGAACATCCATTTGAAGGAGTGGGACATTTAAGCAAATCCTAGGCGTTTGGTGGAGTGTCCTACGCGGCTTCTTTCTCTCAATAATTTGATACGACCTTACGATATACATATATTATAAAAATAGAATTATATTACCCATCATGTTCACGTCTGTATTCACTTAAATAACTTAGTAATTTAGTTACACATAAATCAAGTTATCTCAATAGTTAAAATTATCAGTGATATTTTTAGAAGTCTCAGGTTCAAACATTAACGGTCGGAAAGAGCACTGTTGGAGGTCAAAGGGGCCCTTACCCCCTGTTAAAAATTTAGTATATTCAATATAATTTTGATCTAATAATATTTTAGTTTATGTAAAAATAAATATTTAAATTAAAAATTATTAAATATTATTAAATATTTAATTGAGTAAGGGCCTAACTAAAGAATGATAACCTCTTGTTCTTAATTTTTGGCCTAATAACAATTTAAGTCATTTTAAGTTTAAATATTAGACAAATTAGGTGTTGTTTTGTGAGTTTTGAGTTTTTTTTTTTATAAATTTAGGGTGAATACAAGATATTATATGTACAAAAACTCTCAATCATTTGATAATGAACGCTCATACCTTTATATATACAATACTCAAACTCGGGACCTCAAGGATAACAACAATCTCTTACTCACGAAGGTCGCTTGGTTCGTATTGAATTTTGAGTATAATTACCTAATAATTTGTTTTATTTTAGTTTAATATTCTGGCCTCTGTCAATATTTAATCATGACTTCGACCCTGTTAACGGAAACAAAATATTTAAACGTTTAATGTCAAATGATTGTAAATCTTCAAAACATATACTACCACTTGTAATTACCCTAGATTAATAAAAATAATAATTTAATTATATATTATTTATAAATTATACTTTTATTATTTTTTTCTTTATTGAATTTTCAAATTTTTAAAATCTTCAAAATTTCAAAAAATTTATATTTCTCGAACAGTTATAATCTTTTGACATGGCATTAGCTATAATCTCTTAATGTGATCAGATTCATGTGATCAATAAGACAATTAGATTTATTTATCCTGCTAACTTATAAATATTAATCATCACTCTATGTCGGACATGAACAATAAAGATTGATGATATATAAATCATTATGCAAGACTGAAAAATGAAACTTTTTCTATACTCTTCATTTAAATTAAAGGGTAAACTACATGGGTGACTACTCAACTTTAGCATGATTATTTATTCACATAAGGGAGTTTAGTCATGGTCTCATCTTTAGATAAACGGTGTCAGTCCGGTTTTACTAATCTTCCTGTCTGTTCTATAAATCTGGTTTAGGAAAGAAAACTAGACTTATTTTCTAGATATGAACCATGCAAAAGAACACTGTAATCAATATGGTGGCAATCCTATGTGATGGAAGGAAATTATTTGCATTTTACGAGCTGCTTGTTGATGTGTTTTTCCTGCAGGGATTGATAGAGCACCATCGAGAAATTGTAGAATACTTCAATCATCGGGGTGTTTCTGCCATATTTCTCTTCCGAAGAAATCTGCTTCGAAGGATGGTTTCAGTACTCGCGAATTCGTATGGTCGCCATGCTAAGCTATTAAATGGACTCACTCTATTCACTATTTTTTTTTTCCACTGACATTTGAACTTTTTTCTGGTATCTTAATTCAGGCTGCCGCACTTTCGAGTTACAAGCCAATCATCAATTCTACATCATTAATAAGTGAACTCAAAGAAGCAGAAATGGCCGTTGTTAGGGCTTTAGAGTACTTCAATAGCACCCGTCACATGGTTTTGTACTACGAGGATCTTGTCACAAACCATACGGTAAGGCTGGTGACTAACTTTCACGAAATGTTTAATAGTATTTTTTGATGGTTTTGCATTATGAAGATCTTGTCACAAACCGTACAGTACGGTCTGTAATTAACTTTCATGAAATGTTTATACTATTTCTCAACCGTGAAACAACATTTTGTGGATGTCCAAGAATAATCATTTTCTAACCCGCACTGCTGTTCGATTTTTCTTGTGTTTGTACCAGAAACTCAAAGATGTTCAAGAGTTCCTAGGCCTTCCACAGATGGAATTAACTAGTGGCCAGGTTAAGATACTCAAAGGTCCGTTATCGGATTTGGTAAACAATTGGGATGATGTCAACAAGACTCTAAAAGGGACCAAATATGAGAGATTCCTTCACGCCGACTATTAAGAATGACTGTCACTTGTGAAAAGAACAGCATGGATGGCATCTTTGGCCAGTTTTAATTGCTGAATTTGACTGGACATTTTCCCCATTTTGTCAGCCATGCAGTCACGATGTTCACCATGCCAGAAACAATCAGGCAAGCAAATACCATGAAGCCCTCGACCATTTCTTTTCTATATTGATTTGGATCTTATATAGACGGTTTGTACATTTCAGCAAATGAAAATTTGGGTGAACCAATCGTTCATCCTTGAATAGCGTTTTAAGTACTTAATGTCCATTGGGATTTTGTTCCTTTAAAATCCATGATTCATATCATAATTTTGTTTAACATGTTATGCATTCATACAAGTTTCGAGGTTCTATAATCTCATCGTGTTCAAGATTGCCAAACAATTTTAATCATAGTGAAATAGATGTGATGAACCTAAGAATAAAATTACTTCGTGGTACTCTGATAACTGGAACCTGCTCTTTGGTTCGAATGCGACAAAACAAAACGATGTTTGATCCGGAGTTTATGAAGATAAACATCCTAGAGTGGCAGAAGGTTATAGATGGAGGTTGTGCATGCACTTGAATTCACTAGTGCATCGAAGATAGGCTGACATGTAGGAGTTAAACCTATCTTTCATATAGAAGTCTCCACCAGTCGGGTGGTGCAAGGTAAACATTGATAGTGCAAGGAAGCTTGATTCCGGGTTAGCTGCGTGTGGTGGTGTACTACGGAACTCTAATGGAGATCCAAATGGAGGATAGAGATGCAGACCGTCATTGCAGAGATTGATAGTAAAGAAGTTATGTCCTTTCTAAAACAAGATGAGACGATGAAGGGTATCTCTTTTATGGCTCTGCATATTGTTGAGTTGATTAAGCCTGGTTGAAGGTTTTAGTTCAGTTGTGTCTCGAGAAAGCAATAAGGTCGCGGACGGAAACAACCGTTTGGTGCTCATACTTCAAAACTCACCTACAGGCTACAGAGATCGAGTCAGTGCTAAATGGAGATGATTGTAGCGGTGTCATGCAGGAACCTGGCCGGTTAGCTTAATTGTCTTTCTTTTTATTATTAAAAAAACTAGGATATAATTTGACTCGATAACATTAAACTCAGTCAAGAATTCAATTATATTTACATTATAAACACTTATAAAAGTTCATATGCCACCATTCATAAATAGTCAATTGACATACAAAACCCTTTCGAACAAAAATAATTAAATACTAAACCCTGCTTTTTCTGCTGCTTCTGCTTCTTTGCATAACATATATAATGTTCTACCTATGCCTCCATATCAGCAAGACAGAACAGGGGAGTTGGTTTGGGGGGGTGCTTTAGCTCTCCACGGCAAGGCTTGAAGCTGTCTTACCAGCAGAAACCACTGCTCCTTTCTCTCTTCGACATAATCCAAGAGTATGGTTCTCGTTAGACTCCAGGTTCATCGATAAGTCACTGTTAACAGTATGACTGGGATGACGAAGAAGCGACGAACTAGGAATAGCCTCAAAGGTAGAACAAGGAGAGTAAAATGGTGACGGAATTCATGCAATTCTCAGCAAGCAGTTTCTCCGGAGAAAAATATTAATGCATGAAGCTGCACCGAAAGGTCAAGAATGGATGGATCAATAAGGATACGCACATGGCAATGCAACATGTAACTCTTAGCTGTTAGAAGTCAGTTTTATTCCTTTGCGGGCTCTGCTGAACTGGAAATTGATCCGGGTTAAGTTCAGATCGGTCTCTTGTTAAACCGATCAGTAAACAAACAATTAGATGTCAGCAGCAACGGAAGGGGAAGTATTCTTATCTATCATGGACATTATCTATTAGATGCTTAAACAACCAACCATTTGAGCCTTTTATAAACCGGTGCTCTAGTAACATGCTCGCAGATGGCCTCTCTGCCGGATTTCTTTGGAAGCAGCAGTGCAGGAAATCCTTCCCCTCCGGTGATAATGTTTCAGGAGTCGGAGGAGTATCCCTCATCACTTTAAACATAGCTGCAGCCTGCATTAACAGTGACGATTTTGAGACATTGGCAATGACTTTTACTTAAAAACAAACTAGACAGAGCAAGCGAACCAAGTCGGTGTCGCAGCGACAATTAGTACAATCTTAAGTTACATTAGTAGCTTACCCCTTCATATTCACTCCATGGTGCTTTGCCGGTGTACATTTCGATAATTGTACAACCCAAGCTCCAAATATCAACAGCAAGAGCAAGTTCAGAACGATTATTATTCTGCATTACAGCTTGCAAGAGCTGCAGTTAAATCAATAATGTCAGCATGTTTAAATTACAGACCAATGTGTCGGAATAGTTTCGAGATGGTACCTCTGGAGCCATCCAATAAGGACTTCCCTTCAAAGATAGATTAGCTCTTTGTCCACTAAGCTGTGCATCAAACGGATCCAAAGTTATTTGATCGGAATCAGAATATTAACGACTAACAGAAGTTACACCAAGCTAATCAACTCCAATTTTTCACAATCTGTCACTGCCATTGTTAGCTATTCATATTACAGAACAATATGCATCACTTTTCGTGCAGGGCAGGTGCACAGACATCGACTCGTAAAAGATCCTACGGCTACAAGTTTACAAGCTTTACCTGTGACTAGCATGTATCCAGAGATAATGGGAACTTTACGAAACTTACATGTTTAGACATCCCAAAGTCTGCAAGCTTCACAACTCCAGATGCATCAACAAGCAGATTAGCTCCTTTAATATCCCTAAACAATATATAAGCAGCATATTAAGCCACTGATAACTCATGCAGGAATCCTAAGACGCATTTGATTTTATACTGTAACCGACTGTTTTAGTGTGCATGCCAAGCCTTATTTTAACCCGGAAATCACTATATACCTGTGAATTGTCTTTGTGCTGTGCAAGTAAGCCAACCCTGAAAGAATATGGCGGGTAAAATTGCGAACAACAGATTCGGTTATGGCACCGTAGCGATCACGAACGTATTTGTTGATTGAACCTGGATGAACATACTCCAAAATATATAGAACTTGTCTTCAACCTGTGTATGCACAATTTAAATTTTTAATAGAAGTTATTGAGATGATAAGTGAGGCAAGAAGAAAAAGACCCTAAAAATGAAATCGACATGTTGCTTACTATTTCACTACCATAATACTGAACTATATTTGGATGCCTGAGCTGGCTAAGAACCTTAATCTCCTGCAATGAAAGAAAGTAGTCACGATGACCGTGGACAAAACAAACACGAAATGTAATATTTGCTACAGACAGAAAAACCTGCTCTAGTTGTTTAATACACTCTGCGGATTTCGAGTCATCGGGAAATATCTCAACTTCCTTCATTGCACATAAAGCTCCAGTTTGTCTGTCCAAAACAAGAAGCCCCTTTAGTATTTAGAGAGCAAGAGCAATGGGAAACCGAGATACAGAGAACTTGTATACCTGTTACTGGCAACATAAACACTTCCGAATGTACCACGTCCGATAAGCTTGCCCTTTTGCCATTGACAATTCATCCGCGACGGGTCTGGATTAGATGTAACTTGGGGAGGAATGGAAGCTGATGATGAAGTCATTGCTGCTCCCGGAGGACGAGGTAATGGATGGACATTGATAGGGCCATTACTTTCGAGCCGAGATGGCGAGCTGTCGAGTGAAATCCGTTGTTTTATTGGTGAAGGAGGTCCACTACTCTGCCTTTGACGAGGACTTCTATTTGGTGGAGTATTATCAATTCTATATGCACCATAATCATAAAATCCGAAGGGAAAATGCCCTGGAACATCTAATGTAGGCATCTCCGGAGCAGACCAAGCATGATTACCACCTGTAGGAGTCGTGAAGTGTAGAAACCTGTGACTCGGATTCTTTCCGGTCGGGCTAATTACGGCACCACTTAGCGGACTCTCAGGGGCACTACTAATCGGGAAATTACCCCGAAAATCATCCTCGAAGCTGTCACAATCCGCCCTCTTCGATGAGCCACGAGAAGTAAACCTATTGCAATCAGAGAAACTAAGGAACTCTAAAGTCTCAATTATGACAAAAACCAGCAAAATGCTGATCAGAATGTCTGCAATGACTGACAGAAATAAGCTTTAAGTCTAGATTTTCAGACCATCAATAAAAAACGACTGCATTTCACTAATAAATTCTACTCAAACTCATAATTTGCTTGTAAAACATCCTAAGATTGGCAAAAAAAAAATTGGAATTTCAATCTCCTTAACAATAAAAATGCATCAAGTGGTTCATGGAAACATGGTAGTAATAATTTATTTTTCTTCGTTTTAACTTAAAATTAACGAATAATTGCAGAATATTATTTAAATTCCTAAAACTGCAACAAAATTTTAATCAAAACAAATAAGTGAAGAAAAAAAAAACAAATTCACCTTGAATTGGCAGACAACCGTGGCTCAACTTCCTTTTCTTTATCTCTATCCTCTAAACTTTTGCCAAGCCCAACTTCTTTCGTCGACAACTGTTGCTGGCAGTCTCCTTCGGGAACAGGAAGCGGGAGCGGCAACGGCACCGACACAGCCGGCGTTGGTTTCCTCGTAGACGAAGACGGCGACAAAGATGGAGTATGGTAACAGCTAGACAGCACCGGCACTTCCTTCGTCGGAGCAACACCCTGATCCCTGACACGCCTCAGCTCCTTCGCCCTCGTGAGCCTCGATAAGCGAAATCCAAAACTGTAACGATGCTTATTAGAATTATTATCATTATCTTTACAAGGCTTCTTGGGAGAGGTGGCTGAAGAAGAAGACGAGGAAGAAGAAGAAAAGGAAGAAAAAGAAATACTCCGGAGCCAACGCATGGCTATAAGATCATTCTAAACCCAAGAAAAATCAGATTTTCAATTCCAATGATAAAGGATTCGGAATGGGAATTTCGATCAAAAACAAAAGGACAGAAAATCCATAATTGTTTCTGTAGGTTTGGGAAAGAACAAAGATTCTGGTTTCGAATTCGGTATGTCAGCAAATCCGTTTCCCTTACGTTCTGTCTGAAAAAA